AGAGCGCGCGCACCGCGGGCACGGCCACGCCCCCGCCACGCCCCCCGCCCGCGGAGCGCGGTCGCCACGGCAACGGGATTACAGGCGAAGAGCGCTGTTTATTCTCAGCCGAGTGCCAGGAAATTCGGCCGGAGCCTGCCAGACGCACCTCCCTGGGGTGGGGGGCGGGAGAGGGAGGAGAGCGGGTGGACCAGGCCGCCCTGGGCGCGCGGGGGCAGGGAGGGAGGCGGTCATTCGTCACCGGGGGTCGCTGCCCCTCCGAGGGGCTGGCTGCTCAGAAAGCCCTGACTTTCCTGGCTGTGAGGGGATCAAGTTTTCTCTTCCCGGGGCCGAGATCCCCCTCCAGGCCGGCAGAGCAAACCCCAAACACTTTCTCCAGGGACCCTGCCCTTGGAGCCCAGCTGCCTCCTCTCCGACTCACTCACTCACTCACTTGCTCAGCAGATTTCTACTGAACACATCCTATGTGTCAGGACTGCTCTTCGCCCCAGGGAGGGAGTGTTGGAAGAGACCTGGCCCTGCTGGCCCTGCTGGCCCTGCTGGCCCTGCTGGCCTGAGGGGGAGCGGAGAGACCAGACCATAAACTAGCGAGTGGTGAATGAAATACGACTGCTGCTATGCCTTGAAGACGGGTCTTCAAACCGAATCTCCACTGCACGACTCAGCCACGGTCCCCTCCCATCCCAGCTGGGGCGGGCAGCTTGTCTGGGGGTGGCCCTGAAAGGCTGGCCAACTGGGATACTCCTCTGTCATTGGACCCTCAGGTCAGAACACGATCCTCTTAGCGATGGAGAAGCTGAGGCCCCAAGTTCAAGCACAGTTCTTCCAGCTTCGTGGGCTAGGTAGAGAGAGAATGGAAAGGCCTAACTTAGAATCCAGGTCTCTGTCGCTGAAACCTCTGCTCTGGGAACAGAGAACACTCAGGGCCTGCTCCCCCCCTGCAGTCTGCATAATCGACACCTTCCCAGGTGACTCCCAGAGCACTTGCCACTGCCTTGGGGATACAAGCCTGGATCCTCCTCTCTTCCTGGGATGGGGAATCTCCTCCTACCTTGACTAAGTCAGAGCTGGAAAATCCTCGGGGAGAGAGAGCCTGGAGTTTACCACCCCCTGTGCTGTTCTGGGGCGAGTGTGGACAAGTGCAGGCCTTCCCACTCCCTGGGTTCCCGCCTGAGGCCCTGGGCCTGAGGATGGTGGGGGCTGGGAGGAGGCCCCACGGAGCCCTCCCAGCTGTGCTGTGCTGGGAACAGGCCAGGCGTTTGTGAAACCCTGGGTGAGCCTGACCCACGGTCATGAGGACTTGCCTGTGGAAGCTAGTGCCGGGAGGGGGCTGGGGCTGTTCCCAGAAGCAGGGAGAACTCTGGACTTCCCACTCCTGAGCGCACTGGGCTTTGGGATTGCAGCACCGTCTTAAGCAACAGCCGTGGCCTGGAAGGCTGCAAGGCTGCAAGGCTGCGAAGCGGAGAGCATCCGAGGAAGCGCAGGAAGCCGGCTCCGCGCTCTACTGCGGCCCCTGCCCTTACCCGTGGCAGTATTTGGGCCCAGCCTCAAGAAAGGGCTGGAAAACCAGACTCCAAAGAGGACAGCACAAAGCAGGATGCAAGATCCTCACATGACACCGGGATGTAAATGCTCTCTCACCTCCCTCCCCCAGATCTCGAGTTGGAGCTCTTCCCACAGAAAACGACTTAGTGCCTGTAACGTACAGCGTACTGCGGAGACGGGAAGTATAAAACCCACCACGGGGGCAGGGGGCGGACAGGCGGCACAGAGGTAAAACGCAGTGCTTTGTAAGGCTGGCCCATGCGGGCCACTTGGCGTTCCCTCCGGAGGCCTCCCTGAGTGCCAGAGCTGCGTGTGCCCGCCATCCTGTGCCGGGTTGGAGCCCCATGTCCAGACCCTCCTGGGGGCTGTGTGTGTCTGCCTGTCTCTGTGCCTCTCTCATAGAAGAATTAAAGAGATA